AAACAGAATAAATGCATAAATACGAGGCTGGTAAAGAAAAAAATGGGAAAGTTTAAAAAATAATAAGGCCCTGGGCCAGATAATATTTCCAAAGGGTTTAAAAGGTAGTTAAAGATTGGATATGTGAGCCACTTGTTACAAGTTTTTGCAAGTCCTTGAATAATGAGCAGGTACCAGAGGAGTGGAAGTAAGCTAATGCCACTCTTTATTTCAAAAGAGGTGATAAAAATTGTCCGAATAATTATAGGCCCATTAGTCTTACACTAGTTGTGGGAAAAGTTCTGGAAAGTCTGATAAAAGACGCTTTGCAAAAACCATTTAACAAAGTTTAGAATTTTATTCGATAGTCAACATGGTTTCATTAAGGGAAAATCTTGTCTTACAAATCTTTTGACATCCTTTGAAAAAGTTACTGCTTACATAGATGGGGGGTAGAGGTATAGATTTGGTGTATATGGATTTTCAGAAAGCATTTAAAAAGGTGCCACATAAAAGGCTTTTAAAAAAAATTATCTCTATAGGTATGGATGATAATTAACAAATTGGATAGAAGAGTGGCTCAATGGAAGAAAGCAGAGGGTTGTTACAAATGGAGTTCAGACTGGATTAATGTTACTAATGGGGTACCTCAAGGCTCAGTCTTGGGACCTTTTGTTCTTTTTGATTTACATCAAGACATGGATGAAAAAATGGTTAATAAATTAATTAAATTTGCAGATAATATTAAGGTCTTGGGTGTTGCTAGCTGTGAAGAGGATGCTACTGTTTTACAAAGCAATTTAGATCGTTTGGCAAGTTGGGAAAATAAATAGCAGATGGCTTTTAATTATAACAAAATGTAAGGAAATGCATGAGGGTTATAACTATTATAAGTATAATTTGGATGGGAATAACCTTAACAGTGTCATGGAAGAAAGGGATCTTGGTGTAATGATTGATCAGTCTCTTAAGCCATCCAAGCAGTGTGCTGTTGCTAATGGTAGGGCAAATTGGATTTTAGGTTGTATCTACAGAAATATTGAATACAAGTCTAAAGAGGCTATAATTTCACTGTATGGGTCACTGGTTAGGCCACATTTAGAGTCTTGTGTTCAGTTTTGGGTTCCTTACTTTAGGAAGGACATTGAATTATTGGAAAACGTTCAGAGGAGGGTTACTAGAATGGTGCTTTGGATGGATGGGTTGTTATACGAAGAGAGGTTGAGATCTCTCAAATTGTTTTCTCTTGAAAAAAGAAGAATTATGGGGGATCTGATTGAGGTGTTTAAGATTGTAAAGGAAATTGATAGTGTTGATGCATCATCTTTTTTCATACTTAACAGTGAGAATAGTAGGACTAGGGAACACAAATATAAATTTTGGCAAGGTAGGAGTCATCTTCAGCTAAGACAATTTTATTTTTCTAGCATGGTTGTTGGCCTTTGGAATGGGTCTCCTTCAGATGTTGTGGAGGCAGTAATTTTAAGTGAGTACAAGTGAAAGCTTTATAACTATATAAATTATAAGGTCTGGTTTTAAGATCTTTTTATTTTTAATTTATTTATTTAATAGTTTTAGTTTAGAGTAAGGAACAGCTGAAATGGACAAATAGGTCCCTTGTTGTCTGAAAACATTATGTTATTACTTGCTTATTTTTCTGATAATTGATTTAATTGTAATTTTGATTAATTGATTAGTTTACATGACACTAATCAATGTAATTGCTGCTCATAGGTAATCAATTACGTCTTCCAGCTCTACAGTTATGTTAAAATGTAAGATATTATTTTGCTGAAAGTAGCATCTGATATCAAGTCTTTCAATAAATATTATCTTACATTGAACCTTCTTAAACATATGAGTTTATAAAATGGATTTGTATTGAAAAAATATTTGACACAGTCTGAAAAATAATTTTTTTTTAGGTGCTATACATGTGAAATAAACAAACTTACGGTATTTCAGTGGCTCATACCCTCAATTCATGATCCCCTCCTCGAATCAACAAAGCTGAACAAATGTTTTATTGTAATTTAAGTGATCTAATAGATTTTAGTGAAAAAAACTTTTAAAATATTAAGTGTAAATGTGATGATGTTTTTCACTAAACAATTCCATAAATACAGTATGTACATAAAAATGAGTGGATAGTGATCATGGCTACTACTTTGGAAAAACATAAAATGAATGCTCTGGAATAGTGTTCAAATTTTCGGATTTCCTCAAATGAAATTGTCCCAAATTGAAATTTTCACCCATGACAATTTTTGCACACTCCCTTGCATAAAACAAGATTATAGTACTATCACCCTTCATGAATAATCAGAAATGAAAATATCAACATATTTGTAAACATTAATTCCTTATTAAAAGTATTGAGGAAATAAAACGTTTGCAAAATATAACACCCATCCTCTAAACACTACAGTATACAACTAGTTATGAAAAATAACTTCTTAAAAATGCAATTAAAAGAATTAGATTTACAAATATAAATCTGATTTTTGTTCATATGTAAACAGTAATATGAACTGTAAGTGATGTATGATACAATAAAATAGAAATAAATTATACCTCAATCCTTTTTAAATAGTCCTTAGGCAAAGAGTCCAGACATGAGTTAAGGTAACTGTTATTTTCTAATAATTTCTTGCCTATATTAGCAGCAATTTCCAAGTCCTTGTTTTTCTCTTCTAGTTCTTTCTTCAACCGATTTATTTCAGCCTGCAGATCCATGGTGTATTTCCTACTTTTGAAATCCTGAAACACAGATATTGTTAAACATTTTATGTGAAACTATTTATTTAGAGTAAGTAACCAAATGCTATCAAAACCTTAAACACTTGCACATTTTTGAAATATGAGGTGGTTATAAAGCCAGTATGGGTATTTTGAACAATCAGTAGAGGAAGCCATGTAACACATGGGTAAAATATTTTGCATACATGTATAAAAGATTAGACACATTGCATTACACTGGTTTCTCAAAATAGAAATGGAAGAATCACTATAACACCTGCTCAACACAGGAACAATCATTTTTAACATCTTGGCTGCCATGTGACCCTCTGGTGGGTCACAGGGCACTATTAGTAATGTGCCCCATGACATTACTAATAGTGCCATGTGCATAATATTGCAAATATAAAGTTTCTTTGTGGCATTTGATTCTAGGATATTGTTATTGCTTCTTAGCATTTCAGGAATTTGGCATGTTGATTAACGTACAGCAGCAGCCAATGTGTTAACAATTTCATTACTGTGTACATCCTGACAATGGTATTGGATATTGCAACACATAGGTTTTCCCCAGGAATTGACATAACCTCTGTTGCAATGGCACCCTTCAGTTGAGGAATGGTTGCTGGGTTATGATGATGGATTCACACCTTCATATAACCCCATAACCAGTAATAGCTCTGAAACAGCATTTACAAAAGTTACATGCATACTCTGACTTTGAACAATTGGCTACAACTTCTGTTTCTTAGAACTTTCTAACCAATTTCCTAACATCAACAGTTGTCCATGACCCAAATCTTGTATAGGTACTTAAGCACTATGTCCAAAGTTCTGAAACAGTATTGCAGCCATTTTCATGGTATAGCTCCACCACTATGATCTGTTGTTCTGAACTTGCTGTTGTGCCTTCCACAGTTAGTGATAGAAAGATGTTTGTATGTGTTTATCCTGTACTTACATCAGGCCTCGAAAAAGTACAGGTGTCAGGTTGCCATGGAAACTAAATATTTCATCGTGGCACCTATTATTTTCTCCCATTTTATTCATATGTAAGGCTATGCTAAACAGAACTTGAATCTAGAATATTTCAGGACTCTTGTAAATCTAGAACTATTTTTGCATCCTCTGAGTCCTAAATCGAACTTTGTTTCTAAGATTTTAATGTCATATTCAGCACTTCTTTAGGTTTTTTCAGGAATGAAGCACTGCAACTACACAACACGTTACTAATTTCACGTCACTGTATTTTTCTTCTTTCTCTCAATTCAACTAACCAGTGAACATTTTTAGACTCAGACAGGACCAAATGCAGTTAGTTCAGACAATACTATCAAGTGGTTGTTGATATTGTTATGTATCTGCTCGTTTGTTAATTTCTGGTAGAAATTCTTTCCGAGGAACTTCAGCGATACAATTCCTTTCTTAATTAAATCAGTTTATTTTCCCTGGATGCAACTTTGTAATACACAGAATTTCCACAGTGACTGTAAACT